GACTGACGAGCCGCGGGTTGGACGTGGCGGCCGCCCCGGAGAGCATCTCCGCGGCCCCGAGGTGTTCAGCGGCGTACCAGGGGCCGTCCGTCAACTCTCGGCCGCGCGCCTCGCGTAGGTCTCGGTGACGTCACAGGGATCCGGGCGAGGGGGCGTGGCCAGGCTCGAGGCCTCAGGGGAAAAGAAGAGACTGCCATTGGGGCGGAGCTACGGCGGGCTGCATGGAAGAGGCTGGGTGTGGTAAAATGCAGAGACGCCCTGGACTGGGAGAGGACAAGGCTGGAGTACCGGTCCCTCCTCCTGGCGCGCGCCCCCTTTCTGCGCGTGCGCGGCCTCTGGAGGCTCCACGGCCCCTCGCGCCACCGCCACGCACGCGCACAGAATGCTCCCACTGAGCTGGCGGTTAGGACCAAGCGTCTCCGAGTTTTTGACCCCATCTTTAACCATGTTTGTATAGTACGGTATAGTCCCGTGAGGTCGGAGTTACTCATCCTGATCTTGTAGCTGAGACACAGCATGCTAAAGTACTCTCGGGAAGAATTTCATTGTGCGCAAGGAGGCGACCTGCAATCAGGAGTGGGAGGAAGCGCGTGTTCCCCAGAGGGAACGTCGGTCTCTCTCTCCAGTCCTGGCCACTTTTTAATGCTTTTTATTCTCTCTTATACATTAATTTGCATTTATTTATTTATTTATTTCAGTGCTGAGGATGGAACCCAAGGCCTTGCACACGCTGGGCAACCTTTCTACCACTGAGCTACATCCCCAGCACTTCAAAAAAAAAATACACAGGTATATTATATATATGTTTTTAAAATTCTGAGACAGGGTCTCCCTAAATTGCCCAGGGTTGTTTTCAGCAGTTTGGACTCTTGGGTTCTTGTTTCCCGAAGATAGAATTGGGAAGGACACACAGAAGTGAACACATAGGTTTAGTTGCAAAAATCAAAGATCGGTACACTCGTGTGAAGAGCTCAAGCCCGGAGAAGCCAAGTGTCAGACTCTGTAAGGGTATTCTTTTTTTTTTTTTTTTTTTGAGACAAGGTCTGGCTATGCAGTTCAGGCTGGC